AGGAGGAGGATGCTTAGAGAGGTTCAGTGGTTAAGATCACACAGTCAGTAATGGAGTCTCGGTTGTGGCAAGCTCAAAAGTCTACCTTCTGCATCTACTGGGCTGCACCCTCCTTACCTTGAGACCACTCCCAGCTTCTCTAGTATAGGAGAGTCGCTCTATCCTTTGCTGGTGCAGCCTTTCAGATACGCCTCTTATTTACTGATTGATTGATTTTTTAATTCTTTTTTAATGCTTATTCTTGAGAGAGAGAGAGAGACAGAGCATAAGCAGGGGAGGGGCAGAGAAACAGGGAGACACAGAATTGGAAGGCTCCTGGCTCTGAGTTATCAGCACAGAGCCCGACGCGGGGCTCGAACCCACAAACCGTGAGATCATGACCTGAACTCAAGTTGGACGCTCAACTGACTGAGCCACCCAGGTGCGCCTTTCTTTTCTTTTTTTTAATGTTTATTTTTGAGAAAGTGATAGCTGAGAAGGGGAAGAGAGAGAGAGGGGGACAGAGGATCCAAAGTGGGCTCTATGCTGAAAGCAGTTTGAGCAGCGGCTCAAACTCCCGAACCGTGAGGTCATGACCTGAGCCAAAGTTGGACGCTCAACCAACTGAGTCATTTAGGTGCCCCTCAGATACTCCTCTTTAAAAACGCATTTAAAGTATTAATGTAGACAATGTAAAAATGATTACATATATCATAAAAAGACCGGAGGGGCACCTAGTTTGCTCAGTCGGTTAAGTGCTCAACTCTTGGTTTCAGCTCAGGTCATGATCTCACGTTTCATGGGTTTGAGCCTGTGTCTGGCTCTGTGCTGATGGCAGGGAGTCTGCCTGCTATTCTCTCTCTCCTTTTCTCTATGACTCTCTCAAAAAGTAATAAACATTGGGGGGCCTGGGTGGCTCAGTTGGTTAGCATCCGACTTCGGCTCAAGTCATGATCTCACAGTTTGTGGGTTCGAGCCCCGCATTAGGCTCTGTGCTGACTGCTTGCTCAGAGCCTGGAGCCTGCTTCAGATTCTGTCTCCTTCTCTCTCTGCCCCTCCCCTGCTCACACTTTGTCTCACTGTTTCTCAACAATAAATGTAAAATTAAAATAAATAAATAAATAAAAATAATAAACATTAAAAAAAGAGAGAGACTGGGAGGATATGTTCCAAACAGTATATATTGACAGGTAGTAGAATTGACAGCGGTGGGACTTTTATTTAAAAAATTAAAAAAAAAATTTTTTTTATTATTTTTGAGAGAGAGAGAGAGAGAGAGAGAGAGAGAGAGAGAGAGAGAGAAACCAAGCAGGGAAGGGGCAGAGAGAGGGAGGCACAGAATCAGAAGTAAGCTCCAGGCTCTGAGCTGTCAGCACACAGCCCGATGTGGGGCTTGAACTCACAGACCACGAGATCATGACCTGAGCCGTAGTGGGCTGCCCAACCGACTGAGCCACCCAGGCACCCCAACTTTTATTTATTTTTTAAAGTAATCTCTATACCCAACAAGGGGCTCAAAGTCATGACCCTAAGATCAAGAGTCATCTGTTCTACTGACTGAGCCAGCCAGGCACCCCAATAGTGGTGGGACTTTTATTTCCTAAGCTTTTGCACTATTTTTTTTCTTTAAAAAATTATCCTATAATAGTTTTTATTTTATTTAAAAATTTTTTTAATTTAGTTGAGAGAGAGAGAGAGAGAGAAAGTTGGGGAGGGGCAGAAAAAGAGGCGAACAGAGAATTCAAAGTAAGCTCTGTGCTGACAGCAGTGAGCCCAGTGTAGGGCTTGATCTCATGAACTGTGAGATCCTGACCTGAGCCCAAGTCAGACGTTCAACTAAGCCACCCAGGTGCCCCTACAATTGTTGTTTGTTTTTTTTTTAAAGATAAGAATCAGAAATAATTATATATTTTTCCTATATTGTCTATCTTTTGAACATTGGTGCATCTCAGTATCAAGTTCACTACACAAACCATTTCTAGAAATGCACATAACAAAAACGTGTATTTCATTATCAAGCCCTGGTTGTCTCATTTGTATCTCCCATTAGACAAAAGTCTTGGGTTTTCTGTATCACCCACTACTGTACCCTCAATGCTAGAGTAGCATCTGGCCAATGAAAGCATTTGGCACATAACTGGCAAATGAATGAGTGAAGAATACATACCTTCTTCTTTTTAAGTTTTAAATATATTGACATATTCTCAGGGCATGTGGATGGCTCAGTTGGTTAAGCATCTGACTCTTGATCTTGGCTCAGGTCATGATCCAGGATTGTGGGATTCAGCACTGTGTCAGATTCTGTGCTCAGTGTGGAGCCTGCTTGAGATTCTCTCTCTCTCTCTCTCTCTCTCTCTCTGTCCTTTTCCCTTGCTTGTGTGCATACACTCTCTAAAATAAAATGTTTATAGATATATTGACATATTCTTATATTAAGTTTCAAATTAGAATACATGTTAAAGTTATCTGGAAGAAATAAAATGTACTGGAAAATATCTTTGCTTCTGAATTTCACAACTTGCCAAAAATGACTGCTATGGGTTAAATTGTATCCTTACCCCCCAAAAAGTTCTAACCTCTGGTATGTCCAGAATGTGACGTTATTTGGAAATAGGGTCTTTGCAGGTGCAATTAGTTAACATGAGGGCATAGTAGAGAGGATGAGTCCCTAATCCAATATGACTAGTGTCCTAAGAAGATAGCCACATGAAGACAGAGACACCAGAAGGCAATGTGAAGGCGGAGGACTGGGATGATTAATACATAAGCCAAGGAACACCAAAGACGGCCAGCCAACTACCAGGAGCTAGGAAGGATTTCCCTACAGGTTTCAGAGAGAGCTTGGCTCTGCTGACACCTGGATTTCAAGCCCCTGCCTGCAGAACCGTGAGACAATAGATTTCTGTTATTTTAAGCCACTCAGCCTGTGGTGCACGGTGGCCTTGGCTTTGAATTTTTGCAAATAATGGGGGAGGAGGAAACTGTCACCTGAACATCACGACCTACAGGTTTTCAATGACTTTCCAGTTTATTTTCTGATAATGGAAAACATTTTCAAGAACATGCCCAGTCAACACAGGAATGCTAGAAAAGCAAACAATAAAGCGCATGCATGGGGCACCTGGGTGGCTCAATCAGTTAAGTGTCCGACTTTGGCTCAGGTCATGATCTCAAAGTTTTTGAGTTTGAGCCCCGTGTTGGGACCTCTTGCTATCGGTACAGAACCCGCTTTAGATCCTGTGTCCCCCTCTCTCTCTGCCCCTCTCCTGTTTGTGCTCTCTTTCTCACTCAAAAATAAATAAACATTTAAAAATAAGTAAATAAATGGTACACACAAAAAACAAGTAACTGAAATTTTAATATGCCCAGGTATTGACATAAAAAATTTAAAAAGTCAGTGTTACAGCATTGGTTTTTCAAAGGTTAACATTTATAATTAGAGTTAAATTAAATTTCACAAAGTTAAATCTAACACTTCATTTCAATACGAATCTAGCTCTTTATAATCTATCAAAATGGTATTATTTCATGTTAGTTTTCCTCTTCTTAAAGCACTGGTATGCATCTTAAGTGAAATGTTAACATGGAGCCCCAATATGTAAAACAGAAGGTGAAGCTGTTGCAGTTGAGGGGACTTTATAGGGGCCTCACTCTTCCCTAGGTGTCACCTGCTAAGTTGCTTAGGGCCTAAATAGTCCGAGAGCCATGGAATTAAAATATTAACAATAAATGATAAGATTTCAATGATAAAGAAAAACTAGGAAGTCCATTTAGTATGCAACACTTTTTAAGCCTCTTGCTTTTCCACATGCTTTTCTTTGGTTTCATCACTTTAGTAAATTCTTTGAACATCACTTGTTTGAATGGCAGCTACGTTAAGCAGAAATTGTACTTCTGCACCTAGGAAACTATCTCCAAGATAGATGCTGTGGAATAGGATCCAATAATAACAGTGATTTTTTAAAAACATTTTTTTAGGTAGTCCACTGTTCATACTGATAAAACATTTTTCATGAATAAAGCCCCAAAGCCAAGATAATGCTTAGGAAGACGAAACATCACAGTAAGTCTAAAGGAGGTCCCAAGTAAAAGTAAGATCATGGGGCCTTAGAGGGACACCCAAACAGGTCAGAAAACGCAACAATGGTCACACAATCCTCACACTGAATGTATACAGGAATGGCTGGGCTGTGGGGATGTGGACATATGTCCCCAGTGACACTGATGAACGAGAGGAAAGATGTGGTGGACCCCAACGGACACAGATCCACAAGGAAGCATCCACTTAAGGCTACGTGTGGTTAAGAGTTATTAACAGCAAAGAAAGAAATTCATGAGACACGTGGGACTTGTGGTTAGCTGGCTGAACTTGCCCATTAAAAACCTTTCCTCGCTAGTTTGTTCGTGTCACAATCACTGCTACAGATTTCATACACTCTAAGGTAATGCGTATAATGTGCCAGGGTCTATTCTAAGTGCTTTACAAATATTAACTTATCTAATCCTCATAACAACCCTACAAGGGAGGCACTATTATTAGCTCCATTTTTATAGACGAGAAAATAGGCACAGAGAGATTAAGCAACTTGCCCAAGCTCATAAGACTTAAAAATGTGGATCTCAGATTCAAATCCCTTTCAAGAGAAGAAATCACACTTGGGCTGGAAGAGAAATGTGTCCTAGAGAAATCCCAGGCGTGGCCTGAGTGAAAAAGGAAAATGCGGCACCAGAATTGATACTCTATGTGTCCATCACACTGCAAGGGTATGATCTCTAAGCTACTTTTAACAAGATAAATATAAAATGTACACAGATGAACATACCACTTCTTACCCTTGGTAAATCCGAATCTGTTTTGAAATGTGTCAAGTGGAATCATACTATCATAACATGGCTGACTGGCTACACCAATTAAAAGCCGATGCCGGAAGCACATGCTTTTCTCTATCGTAGACTAGCATGAAAAAGACAGTAAATAAATAGTAAGTTTAATATTAAAAAAAAGTGGTTTCAAACAAGGGTTAAGAATAACCTTGTACATTCCAATTCATTACTTTATCATATTCTTGAATTCTTTGCTTTATGTGAGAAAGTTTATTCTTTAGATAATCACAGCGCTCTTTTTTTTCCAGAAATGTAGGATCCTGAAAAAGAAACACAGCCATTATTTTAGCCTCCAGTTTCCTCAGTGAAGAACACAGAAACAGACATTATCATCCAGAAAATGACCCTTCATGGGAGAGTTTCTGCAACAGATTTCAAAATCTTCCTGATAAGAAGAGCATGTCTCTACATTTTTAAAATAGATTTTACTTTTTACAATAGTGTTAGTTGCACAGCAAAATTGAGTGGGAAATACAGAGAGCTGAGACAACTTTAACTTTGGTAGTTTAAATTATATCAAGGAGCAAATAATAAGTGCAGAAAAAGATTAATAAAAGCTCTATCCAGGCTCTACTTCTCTGTGCAATTAAGTTAAGGATGGAGTGACAAACATAAAATAACTTAATCTTTTTGAAGGAAACGTCAGTGAAAAGTTCTATATCGGGTGTTCATTTCCCTAGGTTGCTAAACCAGGATGTAACAGAAGACAAAGAGAAGAAAAGGTATTCAGGAGCTACTCATGTTCTCTAGTAAGTACCATCTTAACAAATACTAAAAAAGAGGAGCGCCTGGGTAGCTCAGTTGGTTGAGCGTCTGACTCTTGATTTTGGTTCAGGTCATGTTCCCAGGCTCGTGGGATCAACCCCAGGGTCAGACTCTGCACTGACAGCACAGAGCATGCTTGGGATCCTCTCTCCTCTCTCTCTCTCAAAATAAACAAACAGTAAAAAAAAAAAAAAAGAAATATTAAAAAAGAACTACTTTAGCTGAGAGAATCTAAGGTCTGTCAGCTCACCATGGCACCTGGATAAGAAAATACTTTGAAGAAGAAAATGGTTTTACTCACATTCTTTTTTTTCTTAAACTCTTCATGGATTCTTGAAATTCTTTCATGTTCCTAAAAATAATATATTGTATACTTGAATTAAAACACCAGGATTTACTCAAATCATATCTCAAGAATGTCTCAGAAGTACACTGGGAATTAGAACAAAAAATAATTTTTATCTAAGACTATAATGAAAATATTCACACACTAAAATTCAATTCAATGGATACAGATTAGAGGGCTTACCACTCATCACACACTGGGATCTAGGGGTGAAGAGAGAGAAAGGCCCCCGCCTGTGTGAAACCAGAACTGAGTCTCAGGGCCACTGCTTGCCAGGTGTCTGACCCTGAGCAAGCTACTTATCCTGAGGCTCACTTTCCTTACTGGGAACATGGAAATAATAACCACAAGGACCTCATAAGGTTGTGAGAAGCTGTACTTATTTGAAATGATACTTATAAAGTGCTTGGTATGTAATAACTACATTATACACCGGGACTAAGAGGTTGAGACTATTCAATTTTCAAAAATAACTAATAGAAGGTTCCTTCTAACTTTAAGTTTTATAGTAAATATGAAGTTACTCAATGGATTGAACCAAAGGGAACAGATTACTAGAACAATGCCCTCATTTATCTGTGTAAACCAGTGCTTTAGAGTTGTCAAACACTGTAAACCTAATACATAAAAGAGAAAATATAATAATTTATAGTTCTAAAAGCCTCCCGAGAACATTTTTTCATCACCCACCCATATCCTTTTTGCAATACATTTTGATTCTTCAGTGTCTTTTGTATGAGTTTCAATTGTGTTTTCATCCTTTGCCAGCATCGAGATGACCTTGGTAATTCAACTGTCACCTGTATGAATGGGTCCTGGCCTGGAAGTAAACTAGCTGCCTGGGGCCAGGGGTGCTGTGCTGGAGACACAGCACAGATAAGAGCTGCAAAACCTCTCCTAGAGTCTGTCACAGAAACTGAATTTCAGACAGTGAGGACCAGAGAGATTATTTTGAGCATTATTTCTATTTTGTGGGCTTAGAAAAGTTATGTGATTAATTTTTCAAGGGCACACAACCAGGTTTGTGAGAGAACGTGTGCCTGCAAATGGGCCCCCTGTGCTTGGAAACACCCCTCCCTGGGGACCTCGTGGGAAATGAACGGGCCTGGCAGGCCCCCACCCATGGCAAAGCTCAGCCTGTGGCCGAGATGTTAAATTTTGTGATACAACTAATATTTCTATTTTATTATTATTTGTAAAATTTTTTAATGTTTATTTATTTTATTTTATTTTTTTTAATTTTTTTTTTTTTCAACGTTTATTTATTTTTGGGACAGAGAGAGACAGAGCATGAACGGGGGAGGAGCAGAGAGAGAGGGAGACACAGAATCGGAAACAGGCTCCAGGCTCCGAGCCATCAGCCCAGAGCCTGATGCGGGGCTCGAACTCACGGACCGCGAGATCGTGACCTGGCTGAAGTCGGACGCTTAACCGACTGCGCCACCCAGGCGCCCCAATGTTTATTTATTTTTGAGAGAGAGAGAGAGAGAGAGAGAGAGAGAGAGAGACAGAGTGAGAGTGGAGGAGGGGCAGGGAGAGAGGGAAACAGAATCCGAAGCAGGCTCCATGCTCTGAGCTGTCAGCACAGAGCCCCACACAGGGCTTGAACTCACGAACTGCAAGATCATGACCTGAGCTGAAGTTGAACGCTCAACCGACTGAGCCACCCCAGTGCCCCTAATATTTCTACTTTAGACAAGAACTAGAGGAGACACTGAGACTATGGCCTTTTCATCTGGTTAGTTACTTGCCATGCTGTGTACAAACCAGAGGAAATGACTATTGTTGATACTGTACAGAAATGTCATGGGAAGGCCGAGTCTCAGCCCCTACCAGAATTAGGACTTTATACCCCTCAGTTGCAGACCCACATGCCTGAGCCCTTGCCCATCACACAAAGCCCATACACTGGAGTCCACTGGGTCTAGATTCAAAGACTCCACTGCACAACTGGATTGCTCAGCATCTTATCTGTCAACCAGCTTGCTCTTCCCAGCCTGAGCCAATCCAGTTTCCTGGGGCCTGCTCATTCCTTCCTGCACTCCTTTAAGGGCCTATAAATTTGGGCGTCCTTCTTGGACCTATGGACCTTGCTTGTTTTTCAAGTGGTACTAACTGACCCTTGACCTACAGTATTTGCCGGATTTCTCCTGCTTCCTGGTGCCAGAATGTCACAGATAACACCATTCCATTGCTCCAGGATTGGGAAAATGTTACTACTCTGGTTATTTTGGCTTAGAGAGCTCGTAATTACAAATGATTTAAATGTACACTTAAAAGTTTATTGTTGGGGCGCCTGAGTGGCTCAGTCGGTTGAGTGTCTGACTTCGGCTCAGGTCTTGATCTGACGTCTCTTCAGTTTGAGCCCCATATAGGGCTCTGCGCTAACAGCCTGGAGCATGCTTTGGATTCTAGGTCTTCCTCTCTCTCTGCTGCTCCCCTGCTGGCGCTCTATGTCTCTCTCTCTTTCTCTCTCTCAAAAATAAAAACATTAAAAAATAAATTTTTAAAAAAGTTTGTGGTCGGGGTGCCTGGGTGGCTTGGTTGGTTAAACGCCCGACTTCGGCTCAGGTCATGATCTCACGGTCTGTGAGTTCGAGCCCCGCGTCGGGCTCTGTGCTGACAGCTCAGAGCCTGGAGCCTGTTTCAGATTCTGTGTCTCCCTTTCTCTCTGCCCCTCCTCTGTTCATGCCCTGTCTCTCTCTGTCTCAAAAATAAATAAACGTTAAAAAAAAAAAAAAAAAAAGTTTGTGGTCAAAACAAAGATGCTCAGTCAATATGGATTTCAGGGGCACTATATATACATATATATATGAGTTACATACATACATTGAGTTGTTTGACATTTGTTAAAAACGCTGTGTGAGTTTTAAAAATTTGAATTACAAGGATCCCTGGGTGGTAAAGCCGACTATCTGACTCTTGATTTTGGCTCAGGTCATCATTTCACAGTTTGTGGAGCCTGCTTAAGATTGTTTCTCTTTCTCTTTCCTACTGCCCCTCTCCCTTGCTCATGCTCTCTCTCTCTTTTTGAAATAAAAAAAATTAAAATTAAAAATTTGAATTATATGAATAATAGATTAACACATTGTCTTTTATTTTTTTTTCAACGTTTATTTATTTTTGGGATAGAGAGAGACAGAGCATGAACGGGGGAGGGGCAGAGAGAGAGGGAGACACAGAATTGGAAACAGGCTCCAGGCTCTGAGCCAGCAGCCCAGAGCCTGACGCAGGGCTCGAACTCACGGACCGCGAGATCGTGACCTGGCTGAAGTCGGACGCTTAACCGACTGCGCCACCCAGGCGCCCCAACACATTGTCTTTTAAAAGGATAGAATATTACACACAAAAGTTCATAGCATTATTCATAACAGCCAAAAACTAGAAACAACCAAAGCGTCCATCAGCTGATAAATGGATAAATGAAATGCGGTATATAGATACAATGGAATAAATACCATAAAAAGGAATGAAATCCCGAATATTCCTACAATATAAATGAACCTTAAAAACATTATGAAAAGAAGCCAGACACAAAAGGCCACATATTAAATCATCCCATTTATATGAAGAGTTTGAAATAAATCCATACAGACAAAAAGTACATTAACAATGATCAGTGATTGGAGGGGGGAGGGAATGGGGAGTGTGTGCTGATGAGTATGGCGTTTCTCTGGAGTGATGAAAACGTTCTGGAATTAGGGGGTGGTAATGGTTATACAACTTTGTGAATGAACTAAAATTCACTGAATTGTTCATTTTAAAAGGGTGAATTTTCTTTTTTTCTTTTTTTTTTCTTTTTCAACGTTTATTTATTTTTGGGACAGAGAGAGACAGAGCATGAACGGGCGAGGGGCAGAGAGAGAGGGAGACACAGAATCAGAAACAGGCTCCAGGCTCTGAGCCATCAGCCCAGAGCCCGACGCAGGGCTCGAACTCACGGACCGTGAGATCGTGACCTGGTTGAAGTCGGACACTTAACCGACTGCGCCACCCAGGCGCCCCTAAAAGGGTGAATTTTCTATGTGAATTTTGCCTCAATAAAAAATGTGCATCTGAGAAAAAAAAGTGCCACTGATTATCAGGGCATCCTGACTTCAGAAATATTAACATGCAAACCGCCCCCCCACAAACTCCAGAGCATTACAGAAAATGCTTGAGTCCCTGGTGACTGGCGTCTCCTCCCTGGTTCCCTCTGTCACAATCATGGTTATCAGTCTGATGGGATGAGCTAACAGCTCAGATCAACTCTCTGTCCTTACCATTGTGTTCTTTGGACCTGGGGTGGTAACCGCTTGGCTGTTACTTATCCCCGGAGAACGCACGACCCCTGGTAGCTCCCCTACACCCACCCCTGTGTGAATAAATCTTTTTCAAATTAGTTGGAGTGTGCCATCCGTCTCCTTTGGGACCCTGACGGATTCAGTACGGACCTGAGGAACAATGACATTTTACTTACATAAAAAAATAAAATGACTGTTTTATAACGGTGTATAATTATTTAGTAATTGAGGGCAAAAGACACAAAATTATATAATGTGAATTGTAATCCTGACTAGTCCCTTCGAAGATCTCAAATGACTTTCCCAGACACAGACAGCAAATGTACCCAGTTATTATGGCTTCCCCACATCGACCTGAAGAAAGCTCAGATTTTTCGCTTCCTCTCTCACTGCTCCTCCTAGATTTTACGCTTCCTCTTTCAGTGCTCCTCCCAGGCACTGTGGGTACTGACCTGTTGGTTTTCCGAACAACGTGGCAATCTGCTCATCACTGCATCCAGCTCATCAAACTTCCTCAAGACGGCTTGGACTTCTGCAGAAAGCTCTTTGTACTCTGAAAACTGGTCTTGGAACACAGCTTTATAGCGTTCTCGTTCATCATCTGTCTGAATCACAGGGTATTTTCTGCGGGAAAAAATTGGCCAGTGATGTAACTTTTTCACTGAAACGGACTGAATGGGAAAGCAGCTTAGCTCTTTCCTCACTGACCATACCGTAACTTCAATTCAATGTACTACCTCTCAGGGAACAAACAGCTGAGAGAGAGGGAGAGAGGGAGAGAGGGAGAGAGGGAGAGACAGACTCCAAAGCAGGCTCCAGGCTCTAAGCTGTCAGCACAGAGCCTGACACGGGGCTCGAACTCACAAACCGTGAGATCATGACCTGAGCCGAAGTCAGACGCTTGGCTGACTGAGCCACCCAGGTGCCCCTGGATACAAATGATCTTAAGCAGAGAGCATTAGCTTGGAGACAAACAGGAAAATGAAACGCCCAAATGGAATCTCTCCGTTTCTACCTCGAAGAAGGACTTAGACACTCACGCCACATAGTCGGGCATCACGATAGGTTTAGGAATGTGGCCCGGGGGAATGTGCCCACTTAGTAGCTCAGGCTTCATTTTTGTTGGTCTCAATTCTTTGAAATTAGCTTCTTGGTCTCTCTGTCTGTCAACACCAGTGGCCATTTCACACTGCAGTTAGGGAGGAAAAGAGGATTTATTTGTAAACAGATGCGGAAGAAGAAGAACAAAACCACGACTTTATTTCTTAGAAGAAAATGGTGGGGAGAAGGAGTACGAAGTAGAAGCAGAAATTAATACTTCGCTTTAGAATTACAGGTTTTATAGTCACAAAGTTGTTCTGAATGCTTTTGTAATGGCTAAAGGGAACCACACTGCAATACAGGAGTACATAACAGTACAAAACAATCGTGTGGATGTCAAATGTGGAGGATGAAATGTTAAATGTAGGGTCTTAACTAGTTTATTTAGGATTTATACCTCAATTAGCTATAAAAGAATACAAAATGTAGTTCAAAATAAGAAGTTCATGGGCGCCAGGTGGCTCAGTCAGTTAAGCATCTGACCCTTGATTTCAGCTCAGGTCATGATCTCACGGTTCATGAGATTGATCCCGCATTGGGCTCTGCACTGACAGAGTCTGCTTGAGATTCTCTCCCTCCCCCTCTCTCTGCCCCTCCCTGGCTCACATGCACTCTCTCTCTCTCAAAATAAATAAGTAAACTTGAAAAAAAAAAAAAAAGAAATTCAGAGATGAAAATGGAACAAGGCTACTTAAACAGCAAGAGAAAAAATGACAGGGGAACTTGAGATGAATGAACTACCAGTAGCCACTGAGTAGGTCAGAAAAGGAAACAAGTTACATTGTCTTCATTACCTGAAATGGAAAACAAGCAAACCCAAGGGAAAGGCAGTGAAGGTCTTTCAGTTGTCCAAGAGTTCTGAACCTGTGATTCCCTGGTTTAAGTCATTCTGGTTTCTAGACTGGAGAGTTCATAGAGGCCTTTTTAGTAAAAAAATGGTACATTTCAAAAGAGGGGAAACAGCACAAAATGAAGTGGCCCAGAGAGGAAGTATCAGGATAGGCTTTCAAGCACTAAAATACCGACATATGGGAAGCAGGGATGCAAAGGCCCAGGGGAACCCATTCTAGAATGAGCAGGCTAACATGGGTATGTAGCTTTGGGGAGAGACTGTTCAGGAACCCCACTGGGCAGTGCCCAGAATACCAACCATGCTGGGGAGGGCTGTGGATGCCAGGAGAGGGGTTTCTATTTTACACAGAAAGAAGCAAGGTCCAGAAAAGTTAGGTATATTTTCTAGAGCCTCACAGCTGGGAAGTGGAAAAGCCACAATTAAAACCCAGAATTTTGGGGTCACCTGGGTGGCTCAGTCGGTTAAGCATCTGACTCTTGATTTCGGTTCAGGTCACGATCTCCTGGTAATGAGATGGAGCCCAGTGTTGGGCTCTGCACTGAGAGTGGAACTTGCTTAAGATTTTCTCTGTCTGGGGGCACCTGAGTGGCTCAGTTGGTTAAGTGTCTGACTTCGGCTCAAGCCATGATCTCATAGCTCCTGGGTTTGAGCCCCACATTATGCTCAGAGACTGGAGACTGCTTCGGATTCTCTGTTCCTTCCTCTCTGCCCCTCTGCCATTCATGCCCCCTCTGTCTGTCTCTCTCTCAAAAATAAACATTAAAAAAAAATTATTTTTAAAGATTCTGTCTCTCTCCACCCCTCTCCCCTGCTTAGGCTCTCCCTGCCCGCCCCCAAAAACAACAACAACAACAAAAAACCCAGAACTTTTTGGGGTTTTAAGGAATAACACAAGGAAGGTTTACGTAAATGCATACTGTTCAAGCCTCAATTCTGACAGCATGCTAGAAACGGTTGATTTCTCATTAGAGCAGTAAGCCCCCCTCCAGTGACCCCTCTTTGGGACTTCAGCAGACACTTGCTGAATTAAACTTGCTGAACTAAACTGAGAGCAGCTTGGGCGGGGGGCAACTTGGCTGAAAACAAACTGCAACACAGGATTTTAAAACTTTGCTCTTTACCTTACCAGGCAGCTTTAAAATCCTTTTGTTTCCTGATTTCCCTATCTCTGAGGCTGCCTCTGAGGTTTGGTTTAAGATTAGCTCACACATTAGATGGTGAGGCTGCTAAACCAGCATTGGGGGAGGGTTGGAGAGGAGAAGCTGGGCCCAAGGCACCCAGGGTGACAGCTGGAAGGGGAACCAGATCATCTTGGTGCAGAAGGCATGCTTGGCCACTGGTCCCCAAACAGCAAGAATTCAAGTGCAGAGCAGGAAACCCCAAGGAAAGGAGATTAAACAAGAGTATTTCAGGGAACAGCTCCTGAGGTTAGTATTTATTCTCCTTTGTTCTCCACTGCTTGGGATGCCATTTCTTCATCCTACTGAATTCTTAATGTGTTTGATCTTGATAGTGAATCATGGTATTAAATTAGGAGGACCTTTTTTGGCTTAAATAAATGGATCTCTATTTCATGGCATCCCTTTTTAGCTTTTAAGTATTTAACAACCCATTTCCCACACAGCTCATTGAAGGAGCTATGGAGCATGGTGACTCTCTAGAGCTTAGCGGCAGCCGCAGTTACCAAACTCGGGTTTCCAGGTCAAAATCATAATTTCTGCCCAGGCAGTCACAGTGGGCAGGAGAGTCCATAGGAGGGCGGTTGTTGTTTGTTTGTGTCTAGGTCAAGTTTTTCAAGCAGGAACTATTCATTTTCCTTACTTGCCTATACCTAGTTGTAAGATTCACTTTTTAATTTGAAAAGGGAGCTTTAAGGGGCGCCTGGGTGGCTCAGTTGGCTAAGCATCTGACTTCGGCCCAGGTTATGATCGCATGGTCAGTGAGTTTGAGCTGAGCTTCGGGCTCTGTGCTGACAGCTCACAGCCTGGAGCCTGCTTTGGATTCTGTACCTCCCTCTCTCTCTGCCCCTTTCCCGCTCATGTTCTGTCTCTCTCTCAAAGATAAATACATAAACAT